AAAACCCACTGAATATGCCTGAAATGGTAAATCAGTGAAATTTAAACCCAGTGAAAATTATCATTTTACAGTAGTGTCATTTGGTATAGTTTTGGTCTTTATTTTCATACAAACCCTGCAGATCAATTTCTATACAAATGTGAAGTTTCCATCTTTGCATCTGATTTATTATTCTGCATATATTAACACTAAGTGAAGCTTTCCTGTTTATTGAACTCATTGGTAGACAGGCTATACAACACTTGGACAGTTTGGACAGTCGTACAACTTATTACAGCATATTAATTGCTTGCTTGTCATTTACTACGTACATTGAAATATTCAAATTCCAGCATTGGTAGAATGAATACAGATAATCTGCATAAAAATAAATAATTTAGGGATTTTTTGCATAATATGAACATTTTGATTCTACGCAAAATTAAAACAAAATTTACTAATTTGATTTAATTTGATGTGATTTGATTTAATTTAATTTAATTCGATTCAATTCAATTCAATAATCTATTATTTATTAACTAAAACCATAATTACAGTGTTTCTTGCCCTATATAGGAGATGTACAGCAAATAAGATTAATTACTTATTGTGTTGCATGGGACTGTGTTGAACAATCTAGCACTTTCAAATTATTGATTGTGTGATCTTCTGTTTTACTTTACTAGGTGCGAAGACAACGTCAACACATTCCCTCATCACGGTTGGCGGCGATGTGCAGTCCCTCTCCATACCCACGCCGGACAATCTCTCTGTGTTTTGGAACATGTTAGATAAATTCTTGGAAGATTCACTGTGCTGTGGGAATTTTCTCTGTAGTCGTCCGTTACAGGGACAGTGTACAAAATGTGCCAAACAAGGTACAGTGCTGTTGGTTTCATATTTATTTCCTCCAGTGCTGGACAATTGTTTGCCAAATATTTTCTGAGGCTTTTTGTTCATCACTACGTTGTATTTCTTGTAGTATACTTTTAAACTTGTACCCTCATGAGCTGCTGTTTTTTTGAATGAAGGTTAGCCGAAAGCATCTGAGTTGCTGTTGTACACAAGATTTATTTGTTTTTATCTACTCATTTTTTTTAGTCAGTTACTTAATTTTTTATTGCTTCATTGTGTTCTGTTTTCGGTATAATTTTTAAATTAATGGGTGACTTATTCTCCCTTTTTTTGATTCATTGGAAAGAAATCAGGACTTTAACCTTTCTGGAATTAAGTTTTTTGTTTATAGTCAAATTGAATAAAATTGTGAATATAAAGAATATATCCTATGAAGAAGTAACACCTAGTCACTTAGTGACCAGTGTCCAAATAGAAACCACTTTTTACCTCAGTTGTTTTTTCCTCAGTTGAAGAAAGTCCAGTTGAGGCAGCTGGTACTAGTAAAATGTCATCAACACTGGTTAAACGGCGTTGGTCAACAGAATCTGGTGACAAGGAAAGACCAGTATTGAAAATAAGGAGAATAACAACAGAAGGTGAATAATAAATTCATTCAAATGATACATCTCATTTTTGGACACAGGTGCATCATGGGATACTTGTATGCATGGTCGCTCTTCGGTTATAAAGCCAAATCTGATTGGATGACACTGGCCGCTTCGTGTAGTCCTACTGCTTGACATCTCAGGGCCATATTGCTCATAAATAACTGACAAAACAAACACAGACAACAACATTTAGTTGGTGTTTGTTTTTTTCTATTTATATATTCTTTGCAGACTAATTGCTATACAGATGTGAAATGTTAGTATTTGCATCTGATTTATTATTCTGCATATATTAATAATAAGTGAAGCTTTCCTATCTGTTAAATTCATTGATAGACAGGCTATACAACACTTAGACAGTTTGAATTGAACTATTTGATTTTGTGTTTCACATCTTGAAGTAAATGTGAAGTAATGTGTTGGTGTTGCTTTGATTTAATTCTAGCTGCCAGTTCAACCACTGTTCCTGAAAGCAAGCCGACAGGTAATCCATCGAATTGGAATATTGAAGAAGTCATAAAGTACATTTCCGATACGGATCTAGCGTTGTCATCATATACTGAACTCTTCAGAAAACATGTAAGTGATTAGTGTGCCCTCTAGTGGACTCATTTTTTAGGTATTTGAGAAAAAATAAATTCATATGTGACTGTTGGTGAATTGAGGAACAAATAAAAATGTTGTGGCTCTTGATTTTCTTTTGTTTTTCAAATATTTAAATTAAATTAGAATTTTGTTTTACCTAATTACAAATTATGTAAGTATAGTAAATTTCAAGATTTACATATATATACAATGAATTAGCATATCTAGTTGTGTCAGTGTCTGGAGGGTCACATGATAGTATAATGAAGTATAATTAATTTGCATATCATTGAAGATGGTATTTATGTTATTGTTTTGCAAAGATCTTTATTTCTGCAAAGCATGAGCAGTTGAAATTTTTACTGTTAAATGCTTGGGGGAAAAACTGC